AGCTATATTTTTTTTTTTGGAGTTAAGAGGTTTTTCCTTTAAAAATGCATTCGTATGTACATGTTGACATCTATATAATAGTTCTGGAGACAAAAAGGTTTCTGCTCTGCTATGATGTCACAGACAGTATCAGGAACTTGGAGCTGAATTCTGCTCCCATCCTTGTTCTTGGTATTTGATTGTTTACCCATCAGTTAAAGAGACACTTTGACTTCACTGTTCTGCTTGTTTCTCTAATGGGAACATGCTGAAATTTCTGTGTATGCTTTTCAGAGATGGACATTTCGTTTTTGCCCCTTCTCTTGTATTCACCCAGTATCTCACATAATGGAGGATTTATTGTCTGGAATTCAGTCAAATATTTATTGAGTACCTACTACCATAATGGAAGTTAATACATAACATTTACCAGGTTTTAGATGCTGTTCTGAATACTTTGCATGTATAGACTGATTCCATCTTCATGGTACATTATTATCATCATTTTACAAGGAAATAAATGAGACAGAGATGGGGAGAAACCTGTCTAAAGTCACACAACTAGAAAGAGTTATAACATGGACTTTAGCAAACACTCTACTAGATTGGCGCGGGGAGAACAAAGATGAACACAACACAGTCCCTGTTCTCAAAGTATTTACTATTCAGCAAGAGGGAAACTAACATACTTTAATGTAACTGTAAATCTAGTAATAATAACACTAGCAAATACTTATGAATTTTATATCTATTCTGAAACCTGTAATCATCCTTTTTTTTGGTATTGTTTCATTCTCACAAGAATCTTATGATTTTCTTTTTTTAGGAAATAAAGATAATTTTGCCCCATGTGGGAAAGAACAAACCACTCTTTTGATTGTCAGTCTGAAGCTGTTCTGGCTCTGAAAACAGTCCCCTGTAAACCAGAACACTGAAGAGTTCTTTTGGATATCAAATATCTCACAGAATGTTACTTTCAGGCAAAGCTACATGGGACTGTGACAAAGCAAGATAAAATTGAGTACTCTCCACCATCTTGTCAGAGCATAGATAAAAACAACAACACTGACCAAACAACAAAAATGACCCATCATCCAGCTTTCTTGGATAATATAATGTGACTGCTCCCCTTTGATCAATTGTAGCTTTAGATCTACTTTGTTCTTTCCATTTTCTAGACAAGAATCAGTAAGATACCCTACATAAAATCTTTCATTTCTGCCAGATTCGAATCAAGCAAAATCACACTCCTTGAATCCTCTTGAAAGCATACAAAGAAAGTCTATATGAAGCCCCATCTAATATCCTCTTTTGGGACTTCTCACAGTTCCTGTAGGGTTGCCTTCCGTGCTGCAATGAACCAATAAATCCAAATCCAACTTGGTTTGATCCCAAGTGTGTCCCTATGGTCTTTTACTCGAGGGTATTAACAGAAAGGAAGGTATTTCAGCAAGGATGTGCTGCTGGAGCAAGACCCTAGACACAGTTTACAATGTGTGTATTGGAGGCCCCTGGGGAGCTTCTCATGTTCAGGTATTCCAGTTGACTCTGGCATATGTTCTCATGGGATTTTTTTGGTTTTTGGATCAGAATTTTATTGTTTCTCGTTGAAATTGTTCTCTGGCCTTGAAGTTCTACTTCTATGGTCTACTGTTTAGTGTTTTGTCTACATAAGGAAACGCCATAAGGAGAAAATGGATATAGACCTGCATTGTCTGTTTTTGAGCCAGTGCCAGGGAAGGAGGAGTTCAGAAAATATCATTAGATTGGTGTTCTTCAGATAAAAGTTGCCAGGGTCACCATTTTAGACTCTTAAAAAGGACTTTTCTCTTAGTTTTATGAGAAATGACTTATTTAATTTCATCTCTCCAGAGTCCAGGTTTTTTTTTATCATGTCCCTGATCACTATAAATTAGCTTTTGCCAAATTCCAGATACACATAATTACACAATTATCAACCTTATGGACCCCTTGAGTTCCCATGTGGTCCTCTTAATCTAAAATTGCACCTTTTAAGCCAAACACTTGTTTCTTCTCTGTTTTCTGAATATAAACAATACTTAGGCTCTGAATTTCCCAGAGCAATTCAGAATTGTAGTGACAACTGGGGAACTCTGACATCAGCAAAACATAAAGCAGGCAGTATTTACAGAGTGTGCATAAAATGTCCCTGTCTCATGGCATTTGTATACTAAAGTAACGTGTTAGGCTAGAAACAAAACGAATATAAATGGTATGATGTCAGGCAGTAAAAGGCCAGTACTATAAAAAGTCTGGGTGCGTGCAAAGAGAAAGGTGTTTATTTTTTAGATACGGTCATTTGAGGGTCTATATAGAGAGATCATTTTAAGAGAGGTAGACCTTGGCCTGAATAAAGGGATGAAGTACACCAGGTGAACATCTATCTAGGTGAAAAGGGTTACAACAAAGAGAAAAGCAGTGCAAAACCTAGTATAGAGTGTATATGGCATTTTTTTTTTTTTTTTAGGGAAAACAAAACAGCTGGTCTGGCTGGAATACTGTGAAAAAGCAGAAGAAAAATAGAAGATGAATTTGGAAAGGTAGCTGGGAACAAGGTAATGTGAGGTTCTGAGGGCATGGAAGATTTTGTTATTTCTAGTGTAGACAGAGAAGACACTTTGCACTGATTTATGTATTGAAGGAGTCACCCTGGCCGCTTTACTAACAATAGAAATCAGGAAGGTAGCATTAATGACTCTTGGATTATGCTGGTCTAGGATGTAGTTAAGATTGTAAGAAAAGGAGGATCAACAAATAAAGCTGTCCTGTGTTGTTCTAAAGAATGCTAGAGTTACAAAATGGGAAAAGGAAGGTCAATTCCTAAGACATTGAGAGGTAGGGTAAATTGGAAAGTGAATGTGGATGGCAGCAGGATTAGAGGGAATTTAAAAAAAAGGAACGCAGATGTGAGGCTCTGAAAATCCACAATTGGGACAGTGGTACCAATAATTACACAAAGGGATTTAAAACAAGTTTGGGAAAAGGGGAGATAATGGATTTTATGTTCACTATATTTAGAAGTAGGGGTAGAATTGATAAAGTCATAAGTTCACTCAAATACCAAAAGTTGAGGCTAGTTTCACAGGTCTCAAGGAAAAAACAAGGGGCTATACTTTGGGAGTGTTTTAGCAAAATAGGCAGGAGGCTATTAGCCAGGAGTTGTTTCTATACCAGAACTCTAATGTAAGCATACTCTGAGTTGCCTTGGAAACATTTCTTGTAACCAATTAGGGAAACAACTACTATAAATGGAACCTCAGCCAATCACAAGCACCCAACAAGATGACTGGATACAATCACCCACCCCCAAACCATATCTACCTAGGGTGAATGCCTAGCTGTGGATAATCAGGCAATTTCCTTACTTTGCTATTATAATAAGCCTTGCAAGTTGTCTGCTAATATTGCTGGAGCTGAGCTCTCTGAACTTCTTCTGGTTTCGAGTGCTGCCAGATTTATGAATTGTTCTTTGTTAAAATAAACTGTTCAGTTTAACCTTTTCTTTTAACAGAGTGATAACTAATATAAGCAAAATGTTCACATAATAATGGGAAATGAAAAGCCTGGGAAATAGGAAAGAGAGATTTATTTGTAAATGCCTTTTAAAAATGTGATGTAGCATAAACATGACTATAGAGCTAGACTGCCAAAGTTCAAATTTCTGCATCAACCTTTTCTAGCTGTACTATATAACCTTGGATAAGATCGTCTGGACCTTTGCATTTGAAAATTATTATATTAGAACTTCCCTGATAAAAGTGTTGTGGTGCAAACATTTTTGATCTGGAGGCCTTGAAATTTCATAACATCTGTAAACATTGTAATGGAAAAAATTATAATCCTATTTCTGTTAACCATTTACAAAATTTGATTCCTTTCTTTACAAAAACCCCATATAGTGTTAGTATCTATGACTTTGTTTCCTATAGAAAGTATAGATATTTTCATATTGCAATACAGTGGTTGCAGACATCATGAAATATTGTGATCACTGTTACTTCAAAATTACCAAATTTATTGCAACTGCTGTTAGATTGCATGTGATGACTGAACTTATCTATATCCTCATAACATTTAGTTGGCCAAGTCTCCTGTAATTTTATGCCTCTTGGTCAAACACAATCATGTTGGGTTGCCTGAATGTTTATAGAGTCACACATCTATATTGCTGTCCAATATCCACAAAATACAAATATTAGTTCATCAATATGAGGAAGAAGGAGAATTGTTTTAATTTGATATTTCCATTATGATGGATTCTTTGGAAATCTTATATATTTAATTTCATACATTTAAAATATTATTTTCAGATTAGGTCCATAGGGTTAACCCCATTATCAGACATGTTCATGGTACAAGAAATCTTGAGGTAGAAGAATAAAATGAGTACGCATGACAACACCTGGCCCTTATCAAAAGTTCAATAAAATGCCTGCTACTATTCTTAAAATTTTAGAGGACAGAAATTGAGTTAAATTCTATTCATTCTTGCGTTCAAATCAGCTAGAACACTGCTCTGTCCATTGGCAATCAATAAACACTGAAAGAATGAAGCCAAGTCTATGTTGGCTTCTCAGGATCTTCAGTTGGGGTTGGAAAACAGGTGTCAAGTTGTGGGCCCACTTCTTATGCATCCAGGGAACTCCAGAGTATGTTAAGAGCGCTTGAGGGTTTACGGAGACACATATGTGTCCCTAAACTTATCCCAATCAGAATATGACTGCCAGTGGCTTAGAGGGGCCAGATTCTTAATTCTTCAAAGCTTTCCATCACCAGAAGGCAACCAGGTAAAGTGTTGGACTGAGAAGTCCCTTGCTTATTCCTGGGATCTAGTTTCAAAAGGACAGTTTCTGTTTGAGCAAGAGTGACAACAGCCTCTCTTCCCTATGTGGGGCACAGGGTACTTTCGTGGTGAGAACTCCGCGCCACGCGCACGGAACCCTCGCTTCCTCGCCACGCCCACTTCCTGCCCCATCCAGCGCCTTTCCAGGTCTCTCTCCCGGTGAACCGGATGCGCTGTCAGTCTCCTCCTCCGTGTCCTCGGCCTCCACCCAGCTCCTTCGCTGAGCCGCTGCCACCCCGAGGCCCCAGCCAGGAGGCTCCCGGCGGCTGGCCTGGCAGGTGTGGGGCGCAGTAGGAGCTGGGCGCTCACGGTTACCGCGCGTGGAGGAGACACTGCCCTGCGGCGATGGGTGCCCGGGCCTCTCCTTCACGCCGGAGACAGGCGGGGCGGCGGCTGCGGTACCTGCCCACCGGGAGCTTTCCCTTTCTCCTCCTCCTGCTGCTTCTCTGCATTCAGCTCGGGGGAGGACAGAAGAAAAAAGAGGTAGAATGAATCCCGTTGGCTTTCTCGAGTGGGCCTGGGCGGGACACATTGCCAGGAAGCCCCGCTTCGTTGCTAGGCAGCAGGGCTGTGGGGCGTGGGCGGTGGCAGCCGCGTGGGTGGAGGCCTAGGGGCGGGTGCTTTGCGGTCTGCAACCTTTTAGCCCAGTACTGTCCTGAAGGAGAAAGGACGCGTCCGCTTGGCTGCCCTGGGCTGCTCCTGGGAATGTCACTTAGGACCACTGAGAGTCCCTCTGTGTGCAGGCCGAGCTTTGGGCGCTGGTGTCGCTGACAGGGGTGTGGTGGATGTGAAAATACCCTTGAGAAGTATTTATAAAGCCCCAGGAACTATTTAACTCTTTATTTTTCTCCCTTTCTAGATTAAACAGAATATTGAGAGTGTTTTAAGTTTTTCTCTATTCTGAATTATACCTTCTAAAAGTGTACGTTTATTTTTATTTTAAACTCAATGTATAATTGTGAAATAACCTCACATTATTTTTGTTATGCACATTTTTGGGTGAAGTTCAGATCACCTGATTTCAATCTTAGTCTTTAACTTTGGGCAGAGTGAGATTTGAAATGACTGTGTTTAAAGTAATTGCAGAGGTATTTGTGAATTCGGTTATGCATCATTACTATGGATGATTGATCTAGAAGCTTCAGAAGAAAAATTCAGTGTTTCTAATTGTGGACCATTTTGGTTAACATACTGTTTATATAATCCAAGATGGTTTTTCTTTGGTGGAATTACACAACTACACAGGTCTCATAATTTGAATCAAGGTATTGCCAGAAATTTCTTAATAGCTGGATAGAGAGTGAAAAAATAGTATACCTTTCGAAGTAATCGTTTTGTCTTTTCTCATTAATCATTGCAGAAAAAACTGTGGTCAATATTAACTTTTTTTTTTTTTCCTTTTGGGTCCTGGGGATTAAACTCAGTGGCACTTAACCACTGAGCCACATCCTCAGCCCTATTTTGTATTTTATTTAGGGACAGGGGCTCACACTGAGTTGCTTAGGGCTGCTTTTGCTGAGGCTGGCTTTGAACTTGAGGTCCTCCTGCCTCAGCCTCCTGAGCCACTGGGAATACAAACGTGCACCACCATACCTGGCAATATTAATGACTGTTAGTTTTTTGTTTTTAATTTTAGCATGAAATTAGGCCATACAAAATTTCTTGTGGAGTTTTGACAACAACATTTAGAGAATCACTAGTTTTGTTACAGTTGTATTTAGAAATATAAATTGAAGATATATTTTAAATACTTGGTATTTATATGCTATATTTCGAGAGTTCTAGGTTTTATAGTTGATGATGAGAAAAGTAGAAGATTGAGTAGTAGACTTTTTTTTTCTTTTTCTTTTTTTTGTGAGTTACCAGAGCAGAGAGCAATAAAATATGATGAGGAATTCTGATGTTTTACCTCCTGGGAATGTCACTTAGGACCACTCTTTAAACTGCAGGGTGAAAAAATGCAAAAAAGGGTACAGGTTCATGGCATCTTAGTGTCTCCATTTGTAATATTATTTGAATATGTAAAGATGATACCAGTATAATTAATTAAATCTAAAAGTCAGTAGTATATTTCCATTAAGATATATTTTATAGAAGGTATTTTTAAAATGAAAAACTGGGGAGAACAATGCTGAAGATTGAAAACGAGCATCTTCCAAAATTATTCTTTTTCTCATAAAAAGGAGAAGCTAATACTAATATATGGTGGTGTTACAGTAACCATGTATTTTTCTTTATGGAAAAAAAAAGGCATATTAAAAAAAACATTTGAAGTTTGATACTTAGGTCTCTGAAGTATTATAGGCCTGTTCTGTATATGGTACTCTGTTAGCAAACCGTGATATCTTCCATTATTGGAATAAAAACATTATACATTGGAAATAATGAGAAATGATTGTTCACCAGTATGATGCGTTTTCAGGGGTACCTCTGTTTTTTTTTTTTCCTGTATGTGGTTTCTTTCTTTGCTGACATTAGAACCTGATGCCCAGTGTAAGATTTGCCATTGAACCAGAAAGTATAGCAGCTGAAATGTAGTTTACTGCAATGAATATGACTACCATTATATATCAGAATAGGTGACATGGCATGAAGAGCTTTTCTTCCTTGGGAATCCAAATTGAACTCTAAAGTTGAGTCTGGAGTCAAGAATGGATATTAGTTGCTTTTAAGGAAGTAATAATTGTGGTGGTAGTATTTACAACATGTTTTCTTGAGTCAGACAAATGATACAGTTATAACTCAGTCCTTGATTATATGACACCAGGCAAACCATTTAATGTTGCTGAACTCTGGTTCCTTTTTTTAAAAAAATACAGACATAATACCTATATCTTAGGATCATTGTTGGGATTAAATAAGTTTATGCAGTATCTAGGGTGATGACTAGAACATAACTGATGATCAATAAGTGGTAAGTAGCTAGTATGTGTTTCTTATTTAAATAAACATGTTAGTATGGTGAAATTCTAAAATGTAAGATTTTTAAAAAATTATTTTTAAGCTTTCTGATGATAATAAATTATATGGCTTCTAAAATAGATTATCTATTACTTATGATGAAACACTGAGAATTCTAGACTTTTATGTTGAGAATTTTGCACATAGAGATTTTGCATCAGAATTAGTGATACTCCATGCATTTGTGTATATGTATGTGCATGTACACGTGTATGTATTATATATATGTTTATATATATGTAGGAATAGTTAAGTGGATAGACAAAGAAGAGTGAAGATTCTTACAGTCACATTTCTTAATTATATTAAATACAGTCATTAAAAAGTAATTTTTAATTCTCAAATTCAGTGATGTGAGTCTGGAAGACTTTGGCCTCTTAGTAGTTTTCATTTGTATATTAATGCATTTTGCTTTTCTTTTGATAGTTTTTCTATTTCTTAGATTATTATATCAGTTAATCAGCTTCATTTGGAATTGTTGTAATTTATAATGACCTCTTCTGATTATTTAAACAGAGCTCAAATTGTATAATGAATTACAGTAGAAGTATTGACTTTGTTAGCCATCAAAAACAGCTGTTATAATAATTTATTATATTTGCAAGGAATGTAATTAGTTAATAGGCTAGGATATGTAGGTATAATGAATATGCAATATGAAAAGTTGATTTGCTCATAAATGCTTTCTGGGAGATTAGTAAAATATTTGCTTAAAATTGTTCAGCTGCCTTTGACATAATTATGTATGCCATTAATGTTTTTAAACATGTTTTACACTGGATGAACGATATCTAATTTCTAGTGTCCCAACTGTGAAATAGAAATTTTACTTAGAAAATGATAACAAGGAAGAAGATGGAGGTAAGCAATAGAAGTTCCCTTTAAGCAAAGAACTTAAGTGGAAGAAGTATGCAAACATTTTAGAAATGCAGAACAATTTTACATTGATCTGCATACATATAAAAAATAGATGATGCTGATGTCAGGCAGTTGTTTCATTTAGGTTAGATTAAGTGTGTGATAATCTTTGAAGAATGATTGAAAATGACAAGTCTTACTTAGAATAGCCAAATGTGCCTGTCCAAGAGCTCCAGTTTCTTGGATGATGGCAGAAGGTATGGTATTCCTGTATCACGGCATTCCATGAGGAATGTGGCACAGAATTCCATGACTTTTAGGTACATGAATATATTACAGCACTAGAGTTGCCAGAATATCAACATATGCATTGGTTCCTTGAGCTTTAATTGGTTCAGGGCAGTGTAAGAGGGCCAGGTGATCCTCAGGTATGTAGTAGTTGAATTACAGGAGAGCAACCTTGACTGTAGGGAACCCACATATTTTAAAATGCACGAGCTTTTTAATTTTTTTTTTTGTACCAGTGATTGAACCCAGGGGCGCTTTATCCCTGCATCACATCCCCACCCCTTTTTATTTTTTCTTTTGAGAGAAGGTCTTGCTAAGTTGCTTAGTGCCTTGCTAAATTGCAGAGGCTGGCTTTGAACTTGTGATGCTCTTGCTTCTGCCTCCTTAGCCACTGGGATTACAGATGTGCACTACCAAGCCCGCTTTTTTTTTTTCTTTTATTTAAATAGAGAACTCTGTCTTGACTAAGACATATATTATAATTTAAACATGATGGCTTTATGCTACACAACATCCTTAAAAAGATAATCCAAAACCAAGTTAAGTCTGTAGCTCCACTCACAAGTTGTGTAGAAACCCACGAAGAATTATCTCTTGGAGAAATTTCATCAAAAAGGAACATTTTTAGGATATTTTCTTACAGGTAAATATACCACTGGCATGTATAGTCCCATATATGTGCTTAATTGTATGTGTATGTCATCAAGAAGGATGGAATGGAAATATGTAACACAAAGCAGACAATATTAACACTTAACCTTTTGTTACATTTACTTTTTCATTTTTTCTCTTTTGCCCTAAATATTTAGTAATTTGAATGCCAGTGCAGTCTCTTATGCCCATGACTGATGTTGGTTTCTTCACTGTATTAGACTATCATGATTAGATTATTTGCATAAGAATTCCTCTTGGAGCATCATGGTAATTCTACCAAAATAGAAAATTTACCTTTGGTTAAGTGTAGGAGTAATGTGTTCCCTGCTAGAAAATGGGTAGATGAAAAAAATGACTATTTGTTGCATAACAGTAGTGTGAGTGTGTGTGTGTGTGTGTGTGTGTGTAAGTGTGTAACAAATGGATAATACTTCTGCTGATCTCTATGTAGTTTTTATTTCTGTTGTTAGGACAAGATTTCTGCAGTTCCTCAAATTGAGCATATCTATTGAGCATATCATCCTTTCCTCTCTCCATGTGGTCCATCTAATTTCTCATTGCTATTAACAATGTTGTTTTATGGGAAACAAACTTTTAATGTTCAAGAGCTTCATTTTTTTTTAATCTAACCACCTGCCAGTATAATACATCTTTGCAGTTTTTTTTAACATTTATTTAATTGTAGATGGATATAATACCTTTATTTATTTATTTATTTATTT